GGAGCCCGAGGTCCGCGTCGCAGGTCCTGGCCCCGGGCCCCGGCGCAGCGACTTCCTGCACAAGACCAGCAGCAACTCCTTCACTGTTCATCCTCGAGGTCTGAACCGCAGCGCGGGCACTCGCCCGCTCCCCAACGGGCCCGCATCCTTGGAGTCCCGGGCCGGCGCTGCCAACGTTCTCGCGGGATCCGCGCCTGGGACGGGCGAGTGGAAGCCAAAGGTGGAGTCCGAGGAGGCCCCCGCCCACCCGTCCCCCAGTCCCGGGACCCCCAGTGCCACTCCAGCCGCGCCCCCGGCCTTGCTCACGCCCAGCCCTGCCAGTGCCACTCCCAGCCAGCGCCAGTGGGTCTCCTCGGCCACCAGCGCCAACGACTCCTTCGAGATACGGCCGGCCTCCAAGCCAGACGCGGACACGATCCCCACTGGGGACATCCAGGCCCGGGCCCTGGCCAGCCTTCGCATGAATTCCCGAAACTCCTTCGTGTTCATCCCCAAGTGCAAGGCTTCCGGAGCCCACCCTGGGGAAGGGAGGCAGTCTGTGGGGTCTCCAGAAGGAGAGCTTGGCTGGGCCTCCCAGCAGGAGTGTGAGGCCCAGCAGGTGCCTGGAGAGGATGGTGTATTTGTCTGTGAGAGGAGCCCCTTGGAGGCTGAGGAAGGGGGATGCCCCAGGCCAGCCAGTGCCCTTGTGGACCCGGCTGTTAGGTGGCAGAGGCCATCCTCACCACCCCTGTCCCCACTGGCCGCCACTGAAGCTGAGCCTACCCAGGGCTTCAGGATTCCCGGCTTGGCCAAGAATGGTGGGGAGCCTGGGAGGCCAGGGCTGCCGGTCACCTTCATTGACGAGGTAGACTCGGAGGACGAGTTCCCCCAAGAAGCCAAACTGCCCTGCTCCGGGGCTGGTGGGCCTCCCCAGTACCACCCACAACCCACCAGGCCTGAGCAGTCCACTTTGCTCCAGCACCGAGGGAGCAACACGTTCACGGTGGTGCCCAAGAGGAAGCCAGCGGCCCGGCAGGCCAGTGGGGAGGCCAGGCCTAGGGAGGCTGAGGAGGAGGGGCCAGGCAGACTTTCGGAGCCACCTGCTGCCCTGGGGACAGCACTGAAGAAGCGTTACCCCACCGTGCACGAGATCGAGGTGATTGGCGGCTACCTGGCCCTGCAGAAGTCCTGCCTCACCAAGGCTGGCTCCTCAAGAAAGAAGGTCAGTGTGGGGCAGAGTCACCAGCAGGGAGGGGGCGAGGTGATGGGTCACAGAGTTGTGAGTGTAGCATGTACCTTGTTTCCAGGACACCTAGCCTGGGTGTGGTATAGCCTCTGTGTGGACAGAGGGGAGCTGGGGCTGGTGGCTATGCAGGCTCCAGGGGAGGCTGAGTTGGCAGGGAATCTCTGGTCTGGATTCCAGTGGAACCCTAATGACCCTGGGCCCATGGGGACACCTTGCCTGCTCTGTACCTTGAGAGGCTGGTGGAGAGAGTCAGTCAAGCCAGTGCCAGGTCTGCCTGTTGGTTCCTGAGGCGCTGTCTGGAATTGGCTGGGCAGGCCTGTCCCGTCGTTGGTCCAGCTGTTGGCCCCGCCCTCATGTGGCTTTGAGGGGGTAGCCTGGCATGTTCTTCAGGAGTCTTGGTCTATACGAGTAACAGGTGCCAGGATGGAAGGGGAAAGGGGCAGGAGACCTTTGATTTGGGTGGGGTCAGATTCCTACCTCCCTCTCAGCCTAGAGGCACAGCACTGGGAGCCGCTCAGAATGGCTCTCAGCTCCCAGAGGCATAGTGGCCCAGAGCTTAGCAGGACTGGCCTCTTGGAGGTGTTTATCCCACTCCTGGTGTGTGCCAGGCCTGTCTGAGCCTGGGTGTGATGCTGGGCTGCGCTGAAGACACTCCCCTCATTGAGGGGAGAGACTTCAAGCCAGAGAGAGCCCCAGGTGCAGGGCCAGGAGCCCTCTTGGAGCCTCACTCTCCCAGCAGGGCTGCCTGGTGGCCTGGAACCCTCTGGGCATGAGGAAACGTTCCTCAGATTCTTCCTAGTCACTCTAGCAGCTAGTTCCTCAGTCTGGCCCTGGGGCAGATTCCAAGGCCATCCCCACATGACTCCAGTCAGCAGGCGCACTGGGCAGATGCACCTTCCCCTGGAGCCAAGATGGTGCCTGGCCGGCTTCTCCTGTGGCTGCCCACACCTAGGCCAACTTTGTCCCCAGCCTGTTTCCTTGGAGCAGTGGGGGTGATGTGCCCTGTGTCACCAGAGCCCCCTACCTGCTGTTCTGCTGTCGCTGTCTACTAACACGTGCCACCTCCTTCCTCTGCTTCCTTTTGACTTTCTGCCTCAGAGTTGGCCTTGGCCCTTCCCTCTCTCCCTGTATCACCTGCCCCTTCTTGGGTGAGGGCCTTGGCCCTCCTGCCAGCTCCATCTGCCCCATCGGGCATCCACGCTCATCGCCCACAGTGCTTCCGGTGGCCCCGCCCCCACCGTCCTGCGTGCCTAACCTTGCCTCACCCTCTAGGCAGTGCTGTGGTCAGCCAGCAGCCATGGTCACCAGCCCCACCCCCTGTCCTCTCCACCTTGCCTGCTCCTCCTTCTGCTTCCTGACCCTTGACCGTGGATGCTCTGGGAGGCCGTCCTTTCCCACGTTGGCCTCGGGCAGTGGAGGTGATAGTGCTCCCTGCTTTGTAGATGAGGCTGTGGGGTCCGGAGGAGGTCATGGAGCTTGGGGGGCAGGAACCAAGTGCAGCTGTTCGAGGCCCTGTCCTCACCCGGCTGCCCTTATCCTGTGAGCCCAGCTGCTTTCTGGGACTGGAGGGCTGCAGCCTTAAGCCTGATCATTCTCTTCCCAGCTGGGGTCAGAGCTATGGGGGTCACTTGTGGCTAAGTTGGGGTTAAAAGGGCAGGGCAGGGTCCTGATGGTGGTTGGGGCAGGAAGACATGATAGGAAGAAGCAGGCCGGGCTCCAGTCTCCATGCCAGCCTGTGTGGTCGGGGGTCCAGATGGATGAGGCCTGGCATGGCCAGGCGGCCTGGCTAGGGCCCTGCCAGAGCATTGTGAGCTGCTAGGGGTGATTTTCTGCCTGGGCACGCACCAGCTGCCCTGCCCAGGAAGAGCCTGAACACCTGTTGGGTGCGATGGAGGCGTGCGGCTGCCCAGCCATTCAGGGTGACCTTGGGCTGCCCTTGGGCTCTGCCCATTCCCTGTTGTCCCACTCGCCTGCTGCTCCTCCAGGCCTCGGGCTGAGGGTCTTCATCCTCACCCAGACCACCCCTGCCAGCCTGTGATTTGGATCGCCATCCTGTTCCTCCAGGCCCACACTCCAGGGACGTGGTGGCCTGGAGGCCAGCAGGACCTCAGGGGCCACCCAGGACAGTGGTGGGAGGCGCTGGTGCCTTTTCCCAGGGGCAGGTGGGGTGCAGCTCTCTAGGGGTGGGGCCTGCCCCTAGAATGGCACCTCAGTGGAGGGCGCAGTGATCTCACCTGGCCTTGGAGGGCTGCCGCCCTGCCCTGGGTGGTAGGGGCGCCCAGCCAGCCAGGCACACATCCCCACTTAGTTATCTCTTGGCAGAATCGCAACAGCCCTATCTCCCTACCTGGATGCCCGAGCTGGCTGCTGCAAGGCACTGCCGCCGCGCCCCCTCTTGCCCCTGCCCCTCACTGTCCCAGTGGGCGGGGCCGTCCCACAGCCCTCCACACCTGCCTCCTGTGGGGCTGGCGCTGTGGGCGTCTCCCCTCTGTGAGGTGCCGGCTGGCCGGGCTCCTGCCTGTCTGGCAGCTCCTTCCCCTCCTGTCTGCCCTCCTCACCCTCTTCCCTGCTGGTCCTCTGCCGAGCCCAAGCAGGCCACGTCCCCAAGGCTTGAGCCTCAACACTGAGCCATTATCCTCGCCTGCGGTGTAACAGCCACCCCCACGCAGACCACTCTGGTCCTCAGACCTCCCCTCAGCCCATGCTGCTGCCCTCAGGGTCTGCTCCGCACCTGCTCTTCCCCGGGATGCTGCGGCCCCTCCTGCGTGCAGCTGCATCTCCTCTCTGTTCTCCTTTTTCACCCTCTCCGCTCCCCAGCCTCTTCCTGCAGGCCACCCCACAGTGGTCTTTCTAGAGCCCCAGGACCACCGGAGCCAGCCTGGGACTTCTGCCACTCAGCTTCCCCACCAGCGGGGGTCTGCCCTGGGCTGGGGGCTGCCCTCGACCCCAGGCATCCCACCTGGTGGCTGTGAGAGCTTTGCAGGGACTGCTTGGGGTGGTCCCGCGGGCCCCTGAGCTCAGGCTGAGTGGGGGATGGGAGCAGGCTGGGGAGTGCAGGGTGGGGCGGATGTTCAGCCCAGCCTGGGGCTGGTGGAGCCCAGCTCCCAGCCCAGAGTCCAGGGTGGACGCCCTTCAGTAACCCAAGCTGGGCGTGCATAGGCAGGGTGGGGTGAGGGAACAAAGGGTGCTCTTCCCGTGAGAGGCAGGAAGTAGGCCTAGCCAGGACCCACCTGCTGGCTGCACCTTGCAGCGGGCAAAGTCCCTAGGAGCTGAGTGACCAGGTGTGTACAGGTGCCAGCTCCTGGCCACGCCCCCTCCCATTCTGTCTGCCTGGGGTCTGGAGGCTGGGCCCCCCCCCGCCCACAGCATGAGTCATGGGATGTCCTGTGACCCACAGACTTGCACTCAGAGGAGGGAGACCTGTGAGCCTGGCCGGGCAGACTCATTCGAGGAGCCTGGAGATGGAAGGGGAGGTGGGACGTGACCTGGGCCCCGGGCCCCAGCTGGGTGCAGACTGGCCTGTGAGCACTGCCCTGTCCCTGCCTGGCCAGGCTGTGCCAGGCTCGGTGCCTGTCCTCACCCAGCCCCCTCAGCCTCCCTGCTAGGCGCTGGTCACGTGGACTAATGAGGGCATGTTAATCCAGCTAGGGCCTGGCAGCTGGCCCTACCCTCCTCTTCAGTGGCGGGGGATGGGCCTAGGGGACTCCAGGTCGTCAGGGACAATGCCGCATGCCCAGGAGCACCGTTCCCTGTGGGGACTTGGGGCACGGGGGCATCCCTGTGCTAGTGGCCCCATCCTGCCTTGGCTCCTCCTGGGGTCTCTGTCCCTGCGTCCCAGAGGTCCAGGGTCCTAGGGGCCAGGTGACTCCATCCCTGGGCTGGCTGGCAGCAGGTGGGCTTCTGCGAGCTCTGGTGATCACCCATGCCAGGCCTCTGCCCTGCTTGGCCTCCTGTGGCGGCAGCTGGAGGTTCGGGTAGGGCCCGCTTTAGGGCAGGGCAAGGTGAGGGGCAGCACACCTTTGAGAGAGAGGAGCGAACGTCTCAATCCTGGTTTTGCCCACCTTGGTGGTGGTCTGCCAGTCTGCTCAGGTCCCTGACTGCCCATCTGTGCAGATGGCCAGGTCAAGGGGAGCTGTGGCTGTGCTAGCGGCTTGCGCGGTTGGTGTCCTTGTGGGAGCTGTGCTGAGACTGGGTGGTCCAGGAGCGCAGTGGGCCCTGGAGGTGCCCACGGCAGTGTGGGGCTGTGTGCACACGTGTGGCTGTGGGGAGAGTGTGGCGGCATGGCAGGAGCGTGTGCCCTTGTTTCTGGATGCTGGCTCTACGGAGCCGGGCATCCCGCTCCTGGCCGGCCCGCCGTGTGTCCCCTGGGGCCAGGGCCCTTCTGCCGCCCAGGGCTGCGAGCCCAGCCCTCCTGCAAGGCCCCTGCCCGTCCTGCTGTCCCTGGGCCCCCAGATTCTTTGCCTGAGGGCCTGGCTCCTGCCTCTGGCTCCTTCCAGGGGAAGAGGAGGAACTTGAGCTGGCTGCCGGTGTCCTGTGCCCTGGAGTTTAATATTTCGAGCTCCACCGGGGCTGCTCCCATCTGCTACAGGCGGGCAGCTCTCATGTTCATTACCGACCCGCGGGGCCTGGCTGAGCCCTTCTGAGCAGACCGCGAGGGGCGAGTGGCTCTGGTGGGGAGCCCAGTCCCGGGGCGCCAAGGGCGAGGATCCTGACCCTCAGAGCCTGTGGTCCCCCTGCCGGTGCCTGTTCCCACTGCCCCTCAGAACCAGCAGCCCAGTCTGGGCTCCGAGGCCACGGAGAAGGGGAGGATTTGCCCGGGTATGAAATTCTGGAGCCTGTAGGGTGGGCAGTGTGGACGTGGGCCACATGGGCAGCTCGGGTGGGAGGAAAGGGTCACTGGTGCAGCCCCGAGCTTCCTCTGACTCAGGCTGTAAAATGTGGTGACA